ATTCCTTTGTCAGACATTCTGATTGGTTCCTGGCTTCCCTCTGCGGTGGTCTTCCCTCTGAAGTGGTCGCATGCCTGTGTGTAGGTCTGGGGGCTCCATGAACAGCAGGAATCAAGGACACTGACATTCCGCCGGCCGCCGGTAAACTCCTGCTGTGTAGATTCAGCGTGATAACGGGGCGAAGAGAGTCTCTTGGGGAGAAATACTCTGGGTGAGAATGACCCTCTGGGTCTCCTTCGTCCTTCACGGCCCATCAAGCACAGGCGGAACATGAGGTGCAAAGGTCAGGGAGCTGATGAGCATCGACGAACAAAATCTTCCTGAGGAAGGGCCGGGCGCGGTGGCTCACACCTGTAATCCCAGCACGTTGGGAGGCCAAGGCGGGCGCATCACGAGGTCAAGAGATCAAGACCATCCTGGCCAACATGGTGAAACCCCATCTCTACTAAAAATACAAAAATGAGCTGGGTGTGGTGGTGCATGCCTGTAATCCCAGCTACTCAGGAGGCGAGCAGGGAATCGCTTGAACCAGGAGAGCGGAGGTTGCAGTGAGCCGAGATATTGCCACTGCACCAGCCTGTGGAACAGTTCTTCTTTATTTCAGCATTACTTTTTGGTAAGTATGGACTGTTGACCGTTCCTTTTTGAAAGTTTGGTTGTACTAAAAATGTTTAATGTATAATGGTGCTTGGAAAGCATGATTTACTGATGGGCCTTTGGTGAAGAACACAAAGGGTTTTTAGATCAAGGGTGGCTTCATTGAAAAAACCTTCTGACATCAGCAGCAACTCGTTTTCTTTAAAGACTCTCAATCTCATTGCCTTTTCCCTGGATGAGAGAGGAATGGGGTTGGTGCTACTTCGCATGGCTGTCTGTGGTGGGTATGGCGTGCCCCAAATGGCTGCGCCTGCTGCGTCACAAGTGTAAGTGGAGGACAGGTGTGGAGGGGCAGGAGTTTGGTGGTGATGTTTGTGACCCCCGGGGGAGCACTGACTGATAAACATTAGACTGGGTTGGAGGTGGCGCAGAGCATGTGGCATTGGTAGTCAGGAACCAAGAAGGCCCCGTGGACTGTGAACCCAGAGAACGGTATTTATCTTCGTGCACCCTCAAGGCCCAGGCCTGGGGGCAAACGTGGGCTGCTTTGGACCCACATGACTCTTATTAATGGTCGGCAGCTTGAGCCACAAATGGCAATATGCTGAATAAAGAAGGTGGTGCTTCAAGGGAGAGGAGTGAAATCAAGGGAGGAAAGAGAAGAGAGGGGCCCTCAGAGCCAGGGGTGGCTCATGCGATTTCTGGAGAGTGGATGTGTCCCTAGGTCAGAGCCAAATCCAGACTCCAAGGTCTAGTATCGAAAATAAACTGTGATGTGCAGACATGACTTCTCTCTCTCTCTCTCTCTTTTTTTTTTTTTTGAGATGAAATCTTGCTCTGTTGCCTGGCTGGAGTGCAGTGGCATGATCTTGTGTAATCCAGCACTTTAGAGAGAGGCCCAGAGGCGGGGCGGATCACAAGGTCTAGGAGAGCATCCAGCCTTCCGGCGCAACATGGTGAAGACCCCCATTTCTACTAGAAGTAGGACAAAAATTGCCAGGCGTGGTGGCGCGCCACCCTGTAGTCCCAGCTACTCACGGAGGCCTGAGCAGGAGATTCTGCTGACCCCAGGAGGCGGGAGGTTGCAGTGAAG